GTAGCAAGTGGAGGGCTTTGACCTCTCTCTGTTATTCAAGCCCATTCTCTTCTATGCATGAAGAATGAGTCTTTTTTTATGATTTTCCTCACTGATACCTTTGTAGAAACATAGAACAGAGTCATAGAATCATTTAGGTTGGAAAATACCTTTAAGATCATAGAGTCCAACCATAAACCTAACACTGCCAAGCCGACCACTAAACCATGTCACTAAGTGCCACTTCTACCTATCTTTTAAATACCTCCAGGGATGGTGACTCAACACTCGCTGTTACTATGTCTTTCTTCAAATGTGGTAATTTTTCCTAAATTGTAGGAGTTTTAGCTGACCACGAGTGTCCCTGAGAAGTGACTTGTTAGCATAGCTGTTTGTTTTACAGGAACAAACAGGTAATTAGATGTTGCCTATAAGGTTGTGTAGGAAAATATTAATAGTCATCATCACTAACACAAAGTAAACATGAACACTATAATCATTACTACTGTGGTTACCGATAACTGTGCAATGATTTATTACAGCTTTATCCCATTTTAAAAATAGCAATTTATGTGCTAATGAGATAATGTAAAATATCATTACTGAGTAATTTAAAAAAATATCTCATTACTGTAGAGCCAATCTTGTTAGTCTTTTGCATTCAGAAGTCTTGCGGAACTTAGGCAGAGTTTAAGTGGCTGTGTATTTCTGGAACAGTGCTCATATTGTGTTTGTTATGTGGTTGTATGTCTTCTAAAAATCTGATGCTAATTGCTTTGCTTCTATAAATATGTGTGTATTGATCCATAACATTTTTACCACTGCTGTTTTGGGTAAAACCAGAATAATTTGGGCCCGGGAGTTGCTTAAACAATGTAAGAAAGGTTAACTCTCAACAAAGATGAATTTTAATTTTATTTTAAAATTTATGAGAGCTCAGCTAATTCTACTCATGTTTAAATGAGCTTCCAACAAAACTATTTCTTAACATTAAATTTTAAAAAATAATTCTAAATATTTATGGTTTGTTCAGGAACATAAATACTGTTTGGACAGATGTCAAACGTGGAGGAAGCTTTCTGTATGAAGCAAACAAAGCGGTTTCATTCATGAAATAAGCATCAATTCTGAATAGTGGAGATCTATCAAAAATTAAGAGGTATTTTAAAAGGACAGGATAATTCGAAGTACTAAATAAGCACAATAAAAAGTCACTTATTGCAGTTTTTTTCCCTTCATGACTTGTGAAATTGTATAATAATCCCTTTGTTCATTTCCTCAAAAGCCTTTTAAAATTCTTCTGATCTGTCTGTGGAGTTTTTCACACATGATCAACTTGCATATGTTCGAGAGTAAAGTCTTCACGGATTTTAATGGGGTTCAAGCTCAGATACTGTTTTTTTTTCACCAGTGTAAGTCTATAAAGCAGGACTACACAAATCCTATAGTTGGCCTGCATGGGTGTTTGTGATCAGGGCATTATTCTAGCTCTTTCTGTGTTTTGTTCTCCAGACATACCTGACCTAAAGGTATTCACTGTCTAAATGTTCACCTGGCTTCTTAAGTGAGCTATGCAGGCAGCATTGAATTCACGACTTCTGTGGCTAGGCGTCTTCTGAACTGTCTAAAGTTTGTAGACAAATTTCGCTTGGATGTGTCTTTGAGATGTGATAGTCACAAGGCTGACTGGAATATAAACGCTCCATCTGTCTCAAAGCCATGGATTTGGATCAGATGGGGACTATTAAATATTGGCATGACCTTAGTTTTGTTTGCAGATATTTTGGTTGGCTTGATAAATCTCCTCCTCAATTGAACCCAACATGTTTGTAGATTAAATAATTGAAATAAGCAGTTAGCTAATCTTAGTGCTGTATAGCACTGTAACACTGCAGTTACTTGGAGGTGCTTACATTGTCTTTTAGGGAAAGTTAACTGCCATATATTAAAGAATGTTTCAAAGAACTTTGAGAAGGTTAGTACATTTGTTGACAGCCTTTAATTGCTCTCCTCCATATGCTATATACATGGTTCTGCCAGTAATTTTTCTAAGTTTCTGACAGCTCTTCAGAACTATTTTGTGCTGATGCCGATATCAAAATGGTACTGGAGCTGAGTGTCCATTTGTAATCCAATTGGCAATTTTTAGTGAGGTATTAACACTTCCATTGTTCAATCAGTAAGACTGTGAGGACTTTCTTAGTGCAAGAAAAAACTCTCCATCTGCAGCTCAGCAACTCCATGCATGTCTTAAATCAGTCCATGAACTGAGTGTTCACAAATGCATGTAGTATACAGAAAAACTGATCAGGCCTTGAAATAATTGGTAATATAACTATTTATGTCTTTCCATGAAACTCAGTTTATTTTTAAGACTGGTAGGGGGTGAGTTCGTTCTAATAAGGCATGATAACTTTAAGACTCAGTTATTTTTCATAATGCATTTTGGATGAAGTACTCTTAAAATCTTTGCCTCATTGTGGTTGGTATTTTGAATTAAAATCCTAACAAATCTTAAATTTATACTTGATGGTTCTCCTAGTTTATACCTGTTTATATACATGAGAGACTATGTGCAACAAGAACTACACTCTTCTGTCTTTTCTTTCAAAACCTGATTGCATATTTGCTATACAATCATATTACAATTGTATTTTCTGCCTCTGCCTAGGAAGACTAAATATCATCCAAAGGAACTTTCAGTCTTTTTTGTTGTTTTAGTGATATAATAGCTTACCTGTACTTTTTTTTATTTTTAATTTGAATTTCACTGGAAATGTCTGAGGCTAGATGCTGATTTAAATTGACATTAGAAGTGGCTTCTGCTTAGTTATCTTCTGTTTTAAGATTAGACCTTTACTGTGATTAAGGCCAAATTCTCTTTAGCATTAACAAGCAGTGCTTCATTTCTTTGCACCAAAGAAAATTTGGCCCAGCATATTCAGGAGAAATTATCATTTCATAATCTATTTATATGCTTAACTGCAATGATTAAACAAAAATGGATTCCAAGGACTGTGTTCTGGTCCTGAACCTTGTCCCTGATCCTGCCAAGATTTAATTGCATGCCAGTTTGCATCACTAAGTCTAGTCTCATTAATGTTCACCAGAACTCCTTAGTGCTGAACTTCCAGCTAGATAAGTGCATAAGCCCTAAAAAGTTCAGAGCCCTTTATTCCACATATGCTATCTTGGTAAAAGAGCTAGCTGTAGTTTCCTGCTATTACTAGTTCCTATGTAATGACATTTATTACCACATTTTGAGGCAAGTCTCATTACCAGAAGCTGCTAGACTCCTATTTAGTTATTAGCTGGGTACAATTAGAGTTGCATTAATCAGTTGTGCTTGTTCAGCTGAGTTCAGATTTTCTTTTGCTGAAGGGAAAATCTGAGTTTATAAGCCAGTACTTCAGACAATTGAAAACCATGACCTTAAATAATCCTGGATGTTCTGACCGTATGCAGTCAAAGAAGTGTGTGGTACTTAATGAATTAGAGAGAATAGTTATAATCTTTAGCCATTATTTGTACCCACTTTAGTGTCTGTTTTTGTAACGTTAGGTCTAGTCTTCCTAATGATATGTGCATACCAAAGTCTTGCATGACAAGCCAGCCTGCCTATTTTTAAATAACCATCCAACTTTTCAGGTACTTTAGAACTCCTGGACATCTCATTGTTAGTCTGAAATTTGGGGGATGCGGGCAAAAATTATTCATCTTTACATGTGAAGATTCCTGTCTATCTTCAGCTTTGTGCTGGATGGCTTCTTAACCTTTACACAAATTAGCTGTTATCCACCTGAGATAAGCTTTCCACAGAACTGTGGTATTTAACTGTTCCACACTTCTCTGCACAGCAACTTCCCCAAGGAAAGCTCTCTGAGTTTTGAGTGGCTGATGCACCTGCATTTCCTTGTTCTAGGGGCCTTGGTGATTGGTGCAAAAAGTCCCGAGTTCAGTATAGTTCCCAAACTCCAGCGATTTGAATTGCTCTCTGGAGACTTTTGAAGACCTTGTAGAGGGGAAGGTGCCTCTGTGGGAAAGGGAGATGTCTAACAGAAGCTGTCAGCCTACTAGGGCCACATTTGAAACAATTCTAACTATGGAGGTTAGAACAGGATTTATACTTACTTAGTTTTGGGTCAGATAACCCTGGAGAAAATAAACCACCGATTTAGATCTCAATTTAGAGGTTAATGTATACCCCGTGAGGTCAGAAGCAGGGCAGTATAAGTAAAAAACCCAACGTGCCTTTCAGTGTAGAGTGGCATTATTTTAGGCTACATCACCAGTAAGAGCTATCTGAATAATGTCCAGCAGGTACACTGACACCAATGATGCTAAAAGGAATATAAATCCTAGTGGCCTCAGCTAAAGAAAGGAGAACAGAGCTTGTCCTTGCCTATTAAGTCCTGGGAGTCTGAGAGCATGGAAGATCTTGTGAGAAACTTGCATTAACTAAACTAAATCAAATTAAAAAAACTTTGGATGAATGAGTGCAAAGGCAATGTGCACTGAAGGGAATGAGTCTAAATTGAAAGGAGAAGAGTTGCTTAGGTTTAGCTAAATGGATATCATAATGATTTTACTCTAAGTTAGGATGATTTCAGGACTGATGAGATGAGAAAATCTGAAAGATTTTTTGGTGTGGAACACATATTAAAGGACCTGCATGTTGAGGCAATGGGAAAAAGTGATGTTCTGCATTATATCTAGTTTCATGTCAATCATTTTAGGTTTTGACTTTGAGCTGCTGTGCTTAGCACTGAAAGTTTCTTTAACAAATTGCTGCTGGGATAAATGGGGATCATGATGATAAAGTGGTACAGGCTGTAATTTACCGCAGTTTTTGTTGGGTAGGAGGAAAAGAACCTTGTCTTACTGAAAAATACATAAGCCGTATTTCTCAGGAGTTCTACCTGAAGAATAGACCTTACAGTTATTGGGGAAGAAAATATTTAAAGTGATTACTTATATTTTCTGCAAAATAATTTTTTTTTTTTTTTTTTTTTTCTCCACAGTAAAACCAACAGTTATTGATGTTGACATTTATGTCAACAGCATTGGTCCTGTATCATCAATAAATATGGTAAGTGACTTGCTAACAAGTATTTTTACCTGGACTTCTGGTCTTGGCATCAATACTAGCTTTTGAAAAAGACAATGAGTACAAGTGGGATAGGTTGTTTTGATTGCTGATTTAGTTCTGTTTTCAGCTATAGCTGTTTTTCAGATGGCTCTCTTGTGTCTCTTCAAGAGAAGAGACGAACAAACCTACACGCAGTATTATGTTCTGTGTTGTCTACCAGAAAATGCTGGTAGATCTTGAATGGTAAAATAACCATCTTAGGAAAAAAAAAAAAAACCACTATGAAGCAAAGCTGTTGCCAAGAAAATTCTTAACTTAATGTTTCGAGAGTCAATCAGATATAGAGAACTTCGTAATGTGGAGTTATTGAGAGTCATCACATACTAACAGTATATTTATTTGAAATTCATCATCTCTTCAGTGGTTACTTTTCTTTCCTGAGTTATCAACAATCTTTAGCCTTAAAGTATAACTTTCGAGAAGGTATACATAGCTATACTGCATGTGTAAAGGCACGAGAAACTGAAAGAGTCTGTGTGATAGTGTGACAGTAGTGAACCTAGCAAAACATAACAGTTAGTTGTTATGGTCTTCTTAACTCCAAGACATTCCTCAGTTCTGCAGCAAAACATTATGATTTAGGAAGCAAGATGAATGTTTATGCAGCTATGGAGGTATGGGCTACTGTGGCTGCTTGTGCAGCTTCAAGTTTGAATTCAGCACAGCATTCCTCCTTGTAAACTAGTCTGAGTTTTGTCTTAACACAACTTGGAAATGGAGGATCAGTTAATATCTTAATTTACTTAAAGTTTTTACACTGACCTCTTCAAAGCAATTACTTTCTCTTGTTCACAATGACATTCAAAGGCTGCTGTGTACAATGATCATATAAGAATCTTATGAATGCATTGTATGTATGTTTTGTACTTTTGGAACAAAAGTTCCTGAATTTGAAAGGCGATCACTCAGCCTGATTCATTGGTTTTGCCTATGTATATGGGATAATGTAAATTATTGCAGCATGTCAAATACTAGGTGGTCAGAGACTCCTGTGTGCCCTGGCAGTGGCAAATCTGGTGAGAAAAGACAGAATAAATTACGTGCCAGGAACGACACGAATATGGCCACATATTCAAAGAGTGTGAAAAGTATTGGTCATATTTCACGTGAAGCACTGAATGTCAAGCAATGGGAGTACCTGCTCCATTCTTGAATTAATAAATAGCTAATTATCTTGCCCTTCACTGACTGCATACCAAAATGACTTGTCCAGGGAATGATTTATTGGAAGATCTGTTGTTCTTATTGTCCTCTGGCTTGCATCTGCTAGGAATGGATACTCTGTTCAAAAACAATCGGGACAATGGTGAGGATGCTTACCTTTCAAAGTCTTTTTGCTCTTTGCCCCTCTGAATTAGCTTGTAAGTAGCATTTTGGGGTGCTGGAAATGTATGGGGAATAATAATTAAGAAAGCATTTGATTGCAACTGCTTCAGGTAGGAAGAAGGAAAAAATAGTAATAGAAGGAACCAGTGGTTCTTGGAAGATTATTATAGTACAGTCAAAGCATGACTAGTTTACTTATTCCTTGACTTTGACTTCAGGATATCTTTTGGAACCAAGATGGAAAGATGCACCAAGATATCAATTTTAAAAATGCATATGGTACCACTTTGTTGGCAGACGGTCTTATTAGGATAGTTAGTGAGTGTATGACGTAGAGATATTTCTTGGTTACAGCTGAGGAAAACTATGTATAATCTGTAAGGGCAAAATGATAAATAAGACAATGATGAAATATAAAATGTAGGTACCTGAAGTTTTGAGGACTCAAGTCTGCTTAAAGCTATATTTAGACTTTTGAATAGAATTGAACCTTATTTCGGATATGCTTGTGGAAAGTATATCACACTGAAACTGAATCTAGCTAAACATGTTGGAGCTTTATTTCTGTTCTCAAACGTAATTATCAATATATGAGATCAACATTAGGTACTCAAATGTAGCAAATTTTTGTCCAAAAGCTCCATTTCTGTTCTGTTACTTTGGAGTTTGTCCAAACTTACATGAGAGAACAGAAATGAGCTTGCAGTCTCAAATTTACGATGAAGATGGGAAGTCCTTCTCACAAACCTGCAAGCTAAGGTGCTGTATGATAACTTATTTCTCCAGAAACTGGTTGAGAAGCTACTTTCCCCCCGCATTTGTGCTATTTCAACTATTTGGCTACAGTATGCAGTAGCTCTGTGGTGCTATACTGGAAAAGAAAATTAAACAGTTTTTGGAATTAAACATAATAATAAAAAAATCACTTATTTGTTTTTAAGTAAGCAGTTTTTCATGTAGACTGTGAACTGCCGGAGCACAGGTACAGAAATAGCTGAGTAGAAACAGTAGCTGGAAATTACCTGTGGCAGAGGAAGAGGGGAAGGAAGGGACCATCTCCAGTCTGATTCCTGTCATATAACTGAACTCTTAAAGCGAGAAGAATGTGTGTGAAAATTGTGTACAGAATTTAGAACAGTATTCCGTGAGAAAAAAAAAGAAAGAGTATTCTTGTGAGAATCTACATATGCTATATTTCTCAGCAGGACAGGAACTTTTAGCTTTTCTCCCCTAAATTATTATTAAAAGTTGAGCTATTCTGTCAAAGGCAACCCAGCAAGATGGTAGTTGATTGAGCAAAAAGAAAGATGATTACATTGATTTCCGTCTCTTCTGTTTCAAGAGTGAGATCATCAACATGTATGGAGGACTTCCCTGCTGTGTACTTCCAAACTTAGCCCTTAGCTCTATCACTTTTTTCTTCTGAGGGAAAATCATGTGGAGCTTCTCTAGAGATCAAACTCTGCAGGTGTATTTTCTTACCAGTTTTCATCAGCGGTTTTCATCCTGTGGGTGAAACCTAGGATGTAAAATAATTTTCTTTAAGTTATCAATTCAATGGGTGTTCAGTTGAATGTTCAAGCCGATTTTGTAGAGCAAAGCTTTTCAGATGTCACTAGCTTTGCTGTAATTGTTAGACTTGAGTATGAATATTAATATCTCACTGTTTCTTGAATAGTCAGGAAAAAGACAGGTGCTACCAGATACCTACCTACAGCAAAGATAACCTCAGATGAATTGTATGTGAATACTTGTGGCCCTGAGGAAAAATAAATCCTCTTAGATTGAGACTGGAAGTGCCACAAGGGGAGGAAATGTTAGGGATCCCTTCAAAAAGGCTTGAAGTCAAGGGAAAGATAATGTTCTCTGTGATAAAGATAGTGTAATCCACAGGAATATATGTCTGACCCTGCATTCCAGACTGTTTGCAGAGGGTTTATGCCACTTCCGCTAAAGGCCTTACCAGTGATTAATTTCCTGGTTGCTTTCAAAAATATCTGTTTAGAACCCCAAGATTTCCAGGAAAAGCAGGAGTGATTGTGAGAATATAACACAGATGCTCTTCTATTAGAGACTCATCGTTATAACATCTTTATGATGACAATAGAAACTTGTTGACTCTTCCTTTGTCTGGGACATGGAAGATTTCTTTGGGCACCGTCTAAAAAAAGCTAATGATAAATAGCAAGAAATAGGAATTGTGTAAGAATAAAGAAATAAAAGCAGGTTGAATAATGAACTGAGTGATACTAGGAGGTAGTATCAAGTGGCAGTGGCTTTGAAGAAGAATATAATGTCAGCATTTTGAGCTATGGCATGATGTTATGAAAAGACAGAAATAATTGATACTAGACAAGAATTATTTTAAAATTTGAAACTCTGAGATGTTTAAATGTCCATTACAAAATTTTAGGGTGGCTTTTTAACAGGTAAAAGCCATCTATTGTATAAATATCTTGATGCCTGTTGTTCATTAAAAAAATAACAGAATGTGAGCTTGGACTGATTTAAAAGAAACATAAACTAATTGATTTAAAAGTAAATGATGCATGGATGTTCTATGCCAAATCTTCTGTGTGCACGTTATATCCCTCTTAGTTTTCATCTCTTCATAAAGTAAGTTACAGAAATCTGCAATTTGCCATTTCATGTTACAATGTCATTAGAGACCCTGACTTGTAGGATGAAATATTCATATCTATCGCAAGATTTTATTTTAACCTTTTCTGTATTTAAAAACTTTGTTGTATCTGTGATCATAATGAACATGCTTCCACTTCTGTTGGGGGTCTTCTAAGTGAGTTTTTTAAATTTGAAAAATTCATCTTCAATCTTGTTTTTTATTTTTTCCCCACACTTCATATTGTAAAACGGGTGTATGAATTCTAGGTCACTCAGTTTTTAAATCTTAGTGTCTTTTTTTTAAACACTTCCCATTCAAAATGGTGTCCAGGAAGCATATGCTTTTGCGTTAAAATCCATGCTCCAATTTTTATCAACAACCCAGTTTTGTCAGTAGCAGCAAAGGTGTAAGTTGCTTTATAAAACTTAGGTCTTTACATGTCTTACTATAGCCTTGTTTTGTACAGATAAGCAGTGCTGGCTTGTGTATAAAAGAATAGAAATAGGAGAGAGACCATGTCAATATCCAAAATGGGAATCAGATGTAACTCATGGGAAAAAAAATATGCTAGAAGTAGTTTTGTGAGACAGAAATGTAAACACATTGAGATTACATAGGCTATTAAGTGTTTGTAGCATCAGTCTGTGCGATAGTGTGTACAAACGTAGTCTTAAGTGAGTAGCTACAGGAATTAGAGGCTGCTGCACAAGTTGCTGGTGAAGGAAGGATTTGACACCTTTATGGTTTTAGCAACTGGAATCTCATTTTAATGCAGCTGTACAGAAAGTATGTTGAAGAGACAGTGTGAGAAACAAACTTACAAGCTGTACTTGCCTGTGCATAAAATTATTAATTGGTTATCTGATGGGTATATGCTCATCTCTCTATTCTCAGATAATCTGAAAAGGTAATTCATAGAGTGTTTCTTTTGTGTGTTTCATCACTTCATTCTTTTGTGTCCACTCTCTCGGCTATGTTGTATATTTTTATG